ACACTCCCTTGAAGCAAGTATCGAACTCTATTAATCATGGAAGTCTCAGCTGAACATTCTGCTATAACAACAACTGCTTAATACATCTCTCGAGCAAGGAAGGTTCAGGATGATTCTCTTAGAAATCTAGGCGCTGCAGACAAATAGCAACAGCAGAACGAGAGTGCACGCTCAGCACCTCTACGAGTAGCAACTCGGATTGCTCTGATATCATGGAACAAAGCATCCAAGCGTTGGAAGAAGAGCTTAGCAACAATACTCTTCATCATTCCTCATCATCTATTGAACCAGAACTAGGGCGCCGTCGCCCTCGAAAGAAAAAGGGATAAACAGCTGCCGAAGCAATGGGCAAGGGCTCGTGCAACCCAAGCGTGCCTGTGCAGATGAGGACAGCAAACTAAGGCCACACGGGCACAAGAACAGGGTGAAAAACCTGTCTTAGACCTGTCCAAAGGGTTCAAAATTGAAAAGAAGAGAAAGGATGCTTCATTGTTGCTTATAGCTAAAGAATTTGAAAAGTGGGTGGTATCCTTTATATGTATGAGAACCCTTGACCCACTGTACTCCATGTCCCACGGACTACCACCCTGGCCACCACAACACTATGCTAAGCATTATAATTAGGGAAATGAACAAAGAATAATACTCTCTTAGCTATTGATACAAACATCTAAGCAATATAAAGAATGCTTCTCAAACAATAGAAAGATTAAGCTAGAATGAACGATCTAACGATTCACCAGAGTCTCTCGTGAACAATGAACCCAAGAAGCCTATAAGAAGCTTTCCCTTCAGCATTGAATAGAACAAGGAAACAATATGGGTTGAATATCTCATCTATAGGATAGGGTTAGAGAAGCTCTTCGCTTGCATCCCCTTGCAAGATATCAAGATACAACAAAACAAAGATCCTTGGATCAGCTCACTCTACAATCTATATCACGAACTAGCTTGGATCTCCTGCACCTGTTATAGCTGCAGAACGCATTTCTCGGACAAGGTGCAATACGAATAGTTCTCCGTTAGAGAATCAGAACAAATTCTTCAAGCTATTAAAGAAAAGAAACTCTGCTTCAGAGAGATTCTCAACAGACAGCACTACAATGCATACATCGGACTACCAAACGACTGCTCTATGCAATACATGAACAAGGAAATAAAATGGTAGCAGTATAAAACGATACTCTATACAATTCATATTAATAATAAGATTTGCAACTAGTATTAATAGAAGAAAGACTAGAAATAATGATAATATAAGCAAAAGCAAGCTAAGAAGCTTGCTTAAAAAGCAGCAAAGCAGGCTCAGAAGAACAAGCAGTTCTCAACAAATCTAAAAGAATAGAATTGCTTGTAAAGAAACTGCAGATGATCAGATCAGAACAGTCCCTATATGAAGCTTTCAGAACAGATTATACTTATATCAAGTTCAACATATACATTCAAGGATATAAGTATAGCATACTATTGAATAGTAATGCTTAGAGAAACTTTATATCTTCATACATCATCAATCAGACATAACTACAATGAAGATAGAAGAGATGCTCATACACTCTCAGCACTATAGAAAAACAACCTATTGCATACAATCAAGAAGTAATCGATAAGGAAACTGATCATCTATCTATCTTGATCCAAGAATATATAATCAGAGCTTTCTTTAACATCATGGATACAGCACAGTATGAGCTGATTATAGAACTTTCATAGCTCAAGGAGCACAATCCTCGAATCGATTGGACTACTGGCTAGATCTCATGAGAACAAGCTGTACCCAGAGAAATAGTTACAATCAACAGCGCAGGATTGAAGCTAGTGGTTGAAGAACACTCAAGAAAAAAAGCTTCATACAACTTCCCACATACCTCTAAGTCAGCAGGGCTGGCAGTTCAAGGAGAAGGACCTAGTAACAGGCGAACCCAAACAGTGCCAGGGCGCTAACAGGTTAGCAAAACAACGAAAGCAAGACCCTCAGCGAGTCGGTCCGCCCCGGAGCGACAAGGAAAAGCTTCAGAATGTGAATTGTGGAACCACACGGGAAAAACCTCGAAACCAGGCCCTCGAGCGCTCGGTCCGGCCCGGAGCGAACGCTCAAAGCTCTCAAAAACGTCACCAAAAACAACGAACGAAAAGAAGCACACTCAACGGTACCTACTGTTCCTCCAGATAGCAGAAACAGCACAAGGACCAGAACTAACACTCGCGAACATACTACGAGAATACTACAAGTTTAAGAAACTGTTCTAGGAAGAATTGAATACAGGATTGCCAGAACACAGCTCATACAACCACAAGATCCCGCTACAAGAAGGGAAACAGCTCAAATTCTTCCCTATCTACGGACTAGATAAAGCACAGCTAGAGATACTACAGAAGTACCTCGATAAGAACCTTAAGAAAGAATACATACGATCATCGCAATCATCAGCAGGATACCCTATTCTATTTATACCTAAGAAAAACAGCAAGCTCAGGCTATATATTAACTACAGGCAACTTAATGATATTACAATCAAGAACCGATACCCGTTGCTGCTTATCAAGGAACTACGAGACAGATTGCAAGGAGTACAGTAGTTCACAGTTCTGAATCTGAAAGAAGCTTATAATCTAATCAGAGTAAAGAAAGAAGAAGAATGGAAAACTGCTTTCAGAACACGCTACGAACACTACGAATATTTGATCATGCTCTTTGGTTTAACGAACACCCCAGCTTCGTTCCAAGAAATGATCAATCACGTTCTATGCAAGCATCTGAATCAGTTCATTATTGCTTATCTCAACAACATCCTTATTTACTCTCGAATATTGGAAGAATATAAGAAACATGTGGAAACAGTACTATAAATGCTTCAAGATGCCAAACTTCTTATAGAATCCGCAAAGAATTACTTTCACATACAAAAGGTTGACTATCTCGGATTCATAATCAAGCTAGGATGCATTAAGCCACAGAAAGATAAGGTGAAAGCTGTTAGGAATTAGCTAACTCCTAGGAATGTTAGGAATATTAGATTTTTTCTCGGATACATTAACTTCTACAAGCAGTTTATTAAGAACTACAGCCGGATTGCATACCCTCTTACAAATCTTACCAAGAAGAAACAGTCTTTCGAATGAACCCTCAAGGCACAAGAAGCCTTTGATAAAATCATCAAGCATATTACCTTAAAGCTGATTCTGTATAAAGCAAACCCTTATAAACCCTTTGAAGTTGAGACCAATGCATCAGAATATGCATTCAGAGAACAACTTAGTTAGCGAAACAACTAAGGGCATCTAAGGATTATAAGCAACTTCTCAAAGAAGTTGAATAGCTCGGAAATCAACTATAGAATCCCTGATTAGGAGCTCATAGCAATAGTAAAAGCTTTCGAGAAGTAGCAATACTACCTCATTAGCGCACAACACTCAATCATGATTTACTCGGATCACAAGAATCTGATCATATTTATAATAACTAAGGTTTTGAATAAGCAACAAGTCAAATAAGCAGAATTCCTTTTACAGTTCGACTTCAAGATTATATACTACAAAAGCTTAGAGAATAAACAAGCAGATGCTCTTAGCAGAAGATCAGACTATCGAAACGCAAATTCCTCGAATATACAGAACATCTTTGCCTAAGATAAATCAGAAAATCTCATTAATGCATATAGAGAGCTGAATACTGCCTTCAGAATTGAATCTTCGGAAAAAGATTCAGAATCAATAACTCCAGACGAACAAGATAACTACATCAAGAATGTATACAGTATACTAGCATACAAGCATCAGAGAATTAGAGCAACCTATGAATACATCAAAAGATACTGAAATCTATCAGATCTTAGGAAAAGAATTGAGAATATTCTATAATAATGCAATAGCTGCAAGAAGAATAAAGCAGAAAAACACAAGCCTTATGAATTACTGCACTCCTTACTAATACCTATAACTATTTAGCAATTCATCAGTCTAGACTTTATTATCAAGCTATCTTTCTTATGAGAACTCTTAACTAAAGTGCAATATAATAGCATTCTAGTAATAGTTTGCAGACTGAGCAAGTATGCTTACTTTCTCCTTTATAAGGAAAGCAGTATAGCAGAAGAACTCGCATATACATTTCTCAGAATAATCATCGCCAACTATAGCACGCCAGAAGAAGTAATCTCCAACAGAGATAGAAAGTTCAACTCAAAGTTTTGAACTTCGCTTATAAAATAGCTTAGAATACACTACAGAATATTTATAGCATTTTATTCACAAATAGATAAACAGATAAAAAGAATGAATCAAGTTATTGAATAGTATCTTCAATACTATATCAACCAGGAACAGAACAACTGAATTAATCTGTTGCTTCTTGCACAATTCGCTTATAATAGCGCAGATACAAGCATAATAAAGAAATCACTATTCTTCGTACTCTACAGATATAATCCAACAGCTTATCACGAGATACTATCAGAAGCAGATATAGAAGCTGCGAATAAAAGAATTAAAAAGATCAAGAAAGTTCAGAAGGAACTCTAATTAGAACTACAATTCGTTCAGAAATGAATAGTACAATATGCAAACTCCAAGAGGATTGAGAAACCAATCCTACAGAAGGGAGATAAAGCTTACCTACTTCGAAAAAACATCAAAATAATCAGATCCAGCAACAAACTTAATTATAAGAAGTTGGAACTATTCAAAATCTTACAACAAATCTTCCCGATTAACTACGAGTTAGCATTATCTCATGGAATGAGAATATACCCAGTTTTCCACATCTTACTGCTGGAATCAGCAGCACAGGAAATACCAACAGATAACACAGCAGAAGTGGAAAACAATGAACCAGAGTATAAGGTAGAGAAGATCCTCAAGCACAGAGGCACAGATAATACAAGGGAATATCTCGTCAAATGAAAGGGTTACTCAGCAAGCGAAAATTCTTGGGAACTGCAGAAAAACATTAAAAATGCTCAGGAAAAGATAGCTGAATATTGGAAAAGGAAAACCAGCACCTAAGATGATCGCTCCACCCCGGAACGAGAATCAGGCGCTGCAGTTTCACTCTCCAGAAGGGAAGGCCAACCAGACATGCTAGGATCAAAGGCTAAGGAACTCCAGTCGATAACCTCAAGATGTCCCTGAGACATCAGACAAGTCTTCTCTTTGCAAAGATTGCGATCCTCCTCATCAGCGAACCCCTCCAAGGAATTGAAACTACAACGAATCATTTCTGCAGCACGCTCCTCCAACAGCCTTCGCTGTTTCCGTACACAATCAAGACAAGCCTGCGACGCCAGCAAGGCTTGTAGGGCAGCAGCGTTTGCTAACTCTGCCTCAGCCTCCTCGCTCAAAACCTTGCGCTTTTCACGAATCAAACGCCCCGCTGAAGAAGAAAATCAGTAATCATAAAGAACATCAAGAAACGAAGAAACCAACCAGCAGAGGCCGAGAAACAACCAGTATCACAGCTCTGATTCAGAGAAACACACTCCTCACAACGAGAAGAGTTTTCAGCAAAACAATAGAAAGCCCCCATCTCCCAACAATGAGCACAAGCAGGCATTTCAATACCAAAAGCAGAAATAAGCTCAGCAAGACGATGATGCTCTTGAGTTTTCATCGAATAACTAGAACGCGATTTGTTAATTCTGTTCAACATCTTGATTAGGAAGGCATAACCATATATGCAAATAACTTGCCCGGATACTTACGGAAGATTGTTAGAAACAATGATCAATAGAAGGAAGATAATGTTATAACCCATCCAACATGCAGATTACCAGCCAAGACACCCGGAACAACTATCCAGAAAGACAGAGAAGGATTCAACATCTCAAGAACTAAGGCTTATATAAGCAAGGGTTAGGATTACAGAATCAGGATGGATCAGTAGCTGATCCATGATAATCCGGATCAGTTGGATCACCCAGGTGATCCAAGGGATCCAACAACCAATACTACCAACAGAACTGAAGAGCTGGATATATAAGGACACATTCATTCCCATTAGATAGATCTCGTACATAGCTCTTCAGTTGTTAATCTAAGTATTCAGTTTCAAATACTGAGTAGCTCCAAAGGCAGTGAATACTTGCATTGCTTATCGAGACTTGTACAGTTCTGTATTCAAGGACTTGACACTTTGATACCGCTCTTGTTAGCATAAACCCCTTCGTGTACTTAGGAATCTTCGGATTGCTGCAGTGCTCATTACATCTATAAACAAGATATTCAATTCATATTGTTTTCTTATTCCATTCAATACCGAAGGGAAACTTTCCTGTAAGCTTGTTGAGTATGTTATTCATGAGAGACCTTAGCGGATCGCTAGATCGTTTGTCTTAGCTGAATCCTTCTGTTGTCTGAGAAGTGTTCTTAGCATCATTCAGATATTTGTGCCAATACCCAAGAGGATACCATCCCTTATCCATGTCCCTGATTATAGTGCTTGGCATAGGTAACGAAGAATGATGAAGAGTGCTGTTGCTAAGTCCTTCCTCCAACGCCTGAATGCTCTGTTTAGTAACATCGGAGCAGTTTAAGTTGCTGCTGCTCACAGTTGTGCTAAGCATATACTCTCGCTCTGCTATCGCTATCTGCCTGTAGCGCCTAAGTTTCTAAGGAAACTATTCTGAACCTTTCTTATTCGAGAGGTATATTAAGCAGTTGTTGTTATAATAGAATATTCAGCTGAGACTTCCATAATTAATAGAGTTCGATACTTGCTCCGAGGGAATGTTTTTGCTCAGTTGATTGGATTCCTATTATTGAGCAATATTCATCTGGCATTCTTTCTGAACTAGTTGCTATTTGTTCATTCAGGGTTGATAGCAATTGCATGCTATGTATCTCTGTTTGTTGCAGTTGTAGCAAGTAATACTATTCTTCTTGCTATACTGCTTGTTAGCTGTATCGAGCTTTATGAAACTAGCGTGCATAGTGCTGCTCTAAGCTGTACTGCTCTGTTAATCGCTATTCTTATATTAGAGTTTCTTGCTTATGCTAGCTGGAAATCTTCAAGTCTAGCTTTCTCCCTTCTTAAACTTCTCTATCTATTGTTCATATAGATAGTTATCAATGCAGATTGCTTGATTAGAGAATATTGTAAAGTCTTCTAGCTAATTCTGCTTGGAGATTTCATTCTTAATATCATTCTTAAATCCCTTGTAATAGTATTTCATAAGATTCTTATCTTTCTACAGGAGTCTTGCTGAGAGCTGTTTAAATCTAACTATATAAGCTGAAGCTGACTTAGTCTGCTTGAGGTTTATAAGCTGCTAAGCTGTAATGCATTTCTCATTAGGATTATCAAAGGTTTTCTTAAGAGCTTTTTCAAAGCTTTCAAAAGAATTAAATATATTCTTAGTATCTTGAGTATGTACATCAGAATTATTCTGATGCTCCAAGTGGTTGTACAGAGAAGGCTTGTATTAGATAAGAGCATTCTTTTCGAGATGAATCTCTGCAAGAATAATCTTTTCAGATTTCTTAGTAAACTGAATTATATAGTGCAGAAAGTATGCTCTGCAATGAGTGAGAAACTCATGCAGTATCTTCTAATTGCTATCATATATAGCGAGCTTATTCATCTTGTATGCTTTTCCAGCGCTACTAATGATTACAGAGATAGTTTACGCCTGCTGAGCATGTTGGGCAAGCTGAGCCTGTTAGTTAGCGATAGTAGCGCTCTGAGCCTGCTGTTGTTCGCGCAGATCCTGGATACGCTGAATAAGCTGATATATCTGATTAATTAGTTCTTTCTGAGTAAGAGCATACGAGAACAAAGGGATTTCTGGAGGAGCTATTGTATTCCGTATTGCTTAAGAGGATAATACTGAACTGTTCTTGAATAAGAGTTGTTAAAATGTAATGAGCACTGCAGCAATTCGAAGATTCCTAAGTATACGAAGAGGTTTATGCTAACAAGAGCAATATCGAGGTATCAAGTTCTTGAATATGGAACTGTACAAGTCTTAATAAGCGATGCAAGTATTTACTGCCTTTGGAGCTACTCAGTATATAAGACTGAATACTTAGATTGATAACTGAAGAGCTATGTACTGAATCTATCTAATGATAATAATCGTGTTCTTATATATCCGGCTCTTCAGTATGGCTTACTGTCTGGCAGTGCTCCACGGATCACTGCGGTGATCCGGGTGAGCCTGGTGAGCTGTGCTCCTGGTGCTCCTGGTGATCCACCCCTGTATCTTTTCTCCTGGGTTATGTAATCAATGCTTTGTCAGAACATCGGGTTCTTGACACCTGGTCCTTGTTGCTCGTGACCTGTTCCGTGACCTGCATGTTGAATGGGTCATAACATGAATCCTTTCTCCAACGCCTGAATGCTCTATTTAATAATATCGGAGCAGTTTGAGTTGTTACTGCTCATAGCCATGCTGAGCATATATCCTCGCCCTGCTATTGCTATCTGCCTGTAGCGCCTAGATTTCTGAAAAAACTATTCTGAATCTTCCTTATTCAAGAGGTATATTAAGCAGTTATTATCGTAACAGAATGTTCAGCTAAAACTTCTGTAATTAACAGAATCTGATACTTGCTTCAAGAGAATATTTTTGCTTAGTTGATTAGATTCCTATTGCTAAGCAATATTTATTTAGCATTCTTTCTAAACTAGTTGCTATTTATTCTTTCAAGATTGATAGCAATTACATGCTATATATTTCTGTTTATTGCAGTTATAGCAAGTAATACTATTCTTTTTGCTATACTGCTTATTAGCTATATTAAGTTTTATGAAATCAGCATGCATAATGCTGCTTTAAGCTATACTGCTATATCAATCGCTATTTTTGTTTTAAAGTTTCTTACTCATATTAGCTAAAAACTTCTAAATCTAGCTTTCTTCCTTCTTAAACTTCTCTACTTATTATTCATATAAATAGTTATTAATGCAGATTGCTTAATTAAAGAATATTGCAAAGTTCTTTAGCTAATTCTGCTTAGAAATCTTGTTCTTAATATTATTCTTAAGTTTCTTATAATAATATTCCATAAGATTCTTATTCTCTTATAGAAATTTTGCTAAGAGCTGCTTAAATCTAATCATATAAGCAGAAGCTAACTTGGTTTGCTTGAGATTTATAAGCTGCTAAGCTATAATACATTCTTTATTAAGATTGCTAAAGATTTTCTTAAGAGCTTTCTCAAAGCTTGTAAAGAAATTAAATATATCTTTGATACTCTGAATATGCATATCGGAATTATTCTGATACTTCAAATAATTATATAAAGAAAGCTTGTATTAAATAAGAGCATTCTTTTCAAAACGAGTTTCTGCAAGGATAACTTTCTCAGATTTCTTAGTAAACTGAGTTATATAATATAGAAAGTATGCTCTGCAGTAGATGAAAAACTCATGCAGTATCTTCTAGTTACTATTATATATAGCAAGCTTATTCATTTTATATACTTTTCCAGCGCTACTGATAATCGCAGAGATGAACTGCATCTGCTAAGCTTATTAAGCTAGCTGAGCTTATTAATTAGCAATAGTAGCGCTCTAAGCCTGCTATTATTCGCACAGATTCTGAATATGCTGAATAAGCTAATATATCTAATTAATCAGTTCTTTCTGAGTAAGAGCATGCGAGAACGAAGAGATTCCTGGAGAAGCTATCGTATTCCGTATTGCTTAAGGGATAATACTGAACCGTTCTTGAACAAGAATTATCAAAATGTAATAAGCACTGCAACAATCCGAAGATTCCTAAGTATACGAAGGATTTATGCTAATAAGAGCGATATCAAAGTATTAAGTTCTTGAATACGGAACTGTACAAAGTCTGATGAGCAATGCAAGTATTTACTGCCTTTGAAGCTACTCAGTATGTAAGACTGAATACTTAGATTGATAACTGAAGAGCTATGTACTGAATCTATCTAATGGCAATAAACGTGTTCTTATATATCCTGCTCTTCAGTATGGCTCACTGGGATCGCTGGCGAGCTTAGCGATTCAAGGTGTGAAGCTCATTGGGATCGCTGGCAAGCCTAGCGATCCTCTCTCCTTTACAACCCTAACCCTGAGTATGTAATCAGTGCTTTGTTAGAATGTTCGGATTCTTGACACCTGATCCTTGTTACTTGTGACCTGTTTCGTGACCTGCATGTTGAATGAGTTATAACATATTTATTAAAAGCAATCTCAACAGAATAAGAAAGAACATATCAGCCTTTGCTCTAAAGGATTTCAGAACAAGTAAAGCATCCAGCCTAGTTTTATCAAAACAACAGTTCCAAGAAAGCACAGCTCCAGCTAGCCCAATCTTGCATTTATTAAGAGAATGTAGTATCAGCTCAGAGTTAAATCAACTTCCATCCGGAACTTCTATCAATCCTTACTTCTCCTCATCTCGAGAAACGCCTATCGATTCAGAACTAACAATCAACCTATTAATGCAGCAAACAGCTAAGCCTGAACGTGCTACCAAAGCTCCATTGCATCAGAAACTGAGAAGCAGCAATATCATGCTTCCCAGTTTTCCTAATAGATTTCAGAAGCTTCGTATGTCTCTATGGAATAAGCTTCATAGCCTTAATCCTATCAAGCTCTTAGTAGATTCTCCGAACTGAACAGGATTCGATTATGCTATTAAGATAGATATGTATGAAGCAAACTGCAAAAGGATCCGTTGA